CCCAAATAGGTTTCGATCATCCCAGTTTCTTAGCATTTCTGCACCGAAGCTTTTATTCTAGATGGTGCAACCAAAATTACAGATTTCTAAATCCAACCGATCAATGGATAATCATTATCTAATGCAAATCTATTTTTCAAAAAACATCGTCCATAGGATTTGAACTCTAGACCTGCCACTTGGTGGAGTGATAACTAGACCACTTCACTAAGCCACTACACCCTGTCAAATGTTTATTTAATTGTGCCAAACACTATATATTGCTATATTATTTGTCATTAAATTGAAAAAACAAAATCAAGATTATAAGACTAAGAATCTAACTAACTTAGAACCTTAAAAAAAAAATTGCTCTTGCTAGAATCAAACCAGCAATTTCAAAATTTTAAGACCAAGAATCTAACCATCTTAGTGGCTTAAAAAAAAAAGTTTTTATATAATACCAGATAGTGCCAAAACCTCGAATAGTTTTTTACATGATGCCAGTATCTAACTATAGCATCAAAACTTTAAAACCTTAAAGCCTTGAAATTAAAAAAACAAAACTTATATCCTAAGGGCTAATAATCGGGATGGCATTTTCTGATTGGTCAGGTTTCCTAAATCATAATAGATAACTTAAATTACGTACGTACTAAGTGGCATATATTTGACACGACTAGAAGGACGATAATTAAGTGTATTTATATAGCAATGTAAAAAATCTACAAGACACTTTTAACATAGCGGTCACATTTAATTTTTACGTTATCTACTGAATTTTGGTAGTACCGTAAGTCAGTATGTACGTACATACGTGCTAAAAAGCGTGATCAAGGCATTTTTTTTTTTTGCCATGACTAGCCAACTCATTTTTATTAATAAGTCCATATAATACGTAAAATTAAGTACCAGCCAAGAACCAGTCGCACCAACTGGATTGAAAAATCAATGAATTATATGTACTGACCCAATTAGGTTCGGATGCGGCATAGCAAATTTATTATCTGAAGTTGGCATAACAGTGTAAAAAAATAAAAATTATTTGTTCTGAGCCTTTAATTTCAGCCCGTTGTTCGGCATAAAAGATTTGACAGTACTGTATTTTGGTTAGTCCTGTGTGTAGAAAAATCAAATTAGTAATGCATTCGATTATTTGAAACAAAATAAAATGAATAAATTTTATTACCATGCGGGCTTTAAGATTACGAGTAATCACCCTCTCAGGAGTTCTATATACAAAAATATTAATTCATTGACTATTTAAAGCAATGACTTCCTAATATTTGACTTACATGACATGAACAACAGCGCCCCAACCACTTAAACAATCTCTATCAACGGCATTCAATAACGCTTGCGAGATTGTTTCAAATAAATCTTCTGGCTCCTTTTATATTAATAAAATTCCAAAGCTTAAATATTGCGATAAACAGAATTCAATTAAGCTAGTAATAACGTACCAAATCAGGTTCCCATAAAGATTCACACATTCCAAACAAGCTGTCAGAAGCTGTTCCAGCTACCACGAAGTCTTGCGATATATCATTACAACCTATCAAATCCATCGTACAGATAAATGGTTGATTATTCTTGTCAAGACCAGCAATCACCGGCTCAACAAAATAAGGGGAAAACCTATAATTTAAATGCTATTGATCACTTCGATATATTAAATATGGCACAATATAAGAACACCGAAATGAATGCCTGATCTTTACCTTCTTTCATACAATGTTGAAGCAACCATATTTGACAAAGTACGCGGTTCGATTTCACGCTCTTCACGTAGCTTATACATGTTAATTTTAAAACGAAACTTTTCGGATCTATAAAATTGATTTGAAACTTTATCATTTGGAAGGCTATATAAACAATACATAAAAAAAAAAAAGGTTGGCAAAATCAAATTACAAAGTTTGGACGTCAGTAGCCAGTCCAGCAAGTCCAATATAGCATTTTCCTGTTGCTGGAAATATCTTTCGGAAATCAGTAGATACTGTCATCAATTGGACACCAAGACGTCTATCAGCTGCAATGGCCACGCAATTCTTTCCGACCATGGCCACTACGGCCGACCCATTATAGCTCATAATCGACTAAAAAGTTGGTGTAATAAAGAAAATCACATCGATTCATAACGATTCAAGCGATAACTAATCCAGTTAAAAGAAGAAAAGAAATTTTACTAGATTTACCATATTTGAAGAAATTTTTTTTTTCTTTCGTCTAAACTGAAGTCGATAGAGAGTAGCGGTAATGTGTTAAGATCTACTACATGATTGGAAGATCATAATTATTTATAAATTCGAATTTTATTGGTTCAGTCTGCAAAGATCTTATCTGTTATCGTTATCGTTTTCACTAAAATGTTAACGCGTATTCGAAACGCGATGCCCATTATTCGTACATCTTGCTTAAGATGGGAAGCAGTTATCACTCCAAAAATAGTCCCTAAACAACACAGATTTAACATACATCATTTCACCAGGGGTCTCGTCTTTCACCAGGGTTTCGTCATTTCTCCAATGGTTTCGTCTTTTACCAGGGCTTCGTCATTTCGTCAGGATCTCCCTTCTTTCTCTGGTTCTAAGTTTCGTCTTTCGTCATTATCCAAAATAAGCACGTCTAGCAATTATACTAAACCCATTGTTGGACGTTGGTTGCTTTTATCTTCTGGGTTAGTTTTTGGTATAGTTGTACTGGGAGGTCTTACCAGATTAACCGAGAGTGGGCTTTCCATTGTTGAATGGAAACCAATAACTGGTGTCATTCCTCCGATAACACTTTCTCAATGGGAAGAAGAATTTGAAAAATACAAGCAATTTCCAGAATATAAATTGTAGGTAAGTCTTTAAATAATTTATGATTATATACATATTTGGTATTAAAATTAATGCATTTGAACTATCAAGGTTGAATTATAATATGTCGTTATCAGACTTTAAATACATCTATTTGATGGAATGGTCACATCGAATGTGGGGACGCATGATCGGACTGATTTTTGTTTTGCCAGCAGTATATTTTGGGTTTCGTGGGTACATGTCAAGACCTATAATTAAAAAAGTTGTGGGCCTAGCTGGATTGCTTGGATTCCAGGTACTATAATGATCCTTAAATGTTATCATAAATAGATTTATTTTTTTGAAGAATTTGATGGGATGTTCAGGGTGTGTTAGGATGGTATATGGTTAAATCCGGATTATCTGAAGAATTAATGTCGACACCGGGTGCCGTTCCACGTGTTAGTCATTATTGGCTAGTAGCGCACTTGGGCAGTGCTTTCCTCCTTTATTCAGGGATGCTTCTAACCGGTCTACAAATTTTGCGAGATTCAAAGATAGCTTATGATACCTTTCCCAAGGTAACATGATAAATATATCATGAAATTATTTCATATAATATTCTTACATGATTTATATACCTATAGGAAGTAGCAAAGATTCTTGCAAACTCTTCTTTAAATAGATTCCGTCGTTTAACCATTTGTACAGCCTTGTTAATATTTTTGACCTCCATGTCTGGTGAGCACTCGTTAGGAATTAATATGTAAATTGCATAATATCTTAATATTTATTTCAATTTAAATAGGTGCTCTGGTGGCTGGCTTGGATGCGGGATTAATTTACAATGAATTTCCATATATGGGAAAAAACATAATCCCTCCCAAGTCTGAACTATTTTCGAAAGTATACGCAAGGTTTGGTGAAACTAGTTTGTGGAGAAATTTCTTTGATAATCCAACAACTGTACAATTTGACCACCGAGTATTGGTACGTTTATAAAGTTTTATCATTTTATTAAGGCTATTACATTGTTGATTGGTGAATTTAAAATTCAAATTTATAGGCTACAACAACATTGTGTGCGATAACTGCATTGTGGTTATATTCACGCCGACTTACACTTCCACCCAAAGCTCGTTTAGCAATTAATTTTGTTCTCGGAGTAAGTTACATACAAGTAACTTTGGGAATTAGTACCTTGATTTATATGGTTCCTATTCCGTTAGCATCTGCACATCAAGCGGGTAGTTTAACACTTTTAACTACTGCATTATATTTGATACACACTATGAAAAGAATTCCGATCAAGATATAATTCTGTTATATCATTCACTTTTTATTTGACGTACGTACGTACCAATGTGATCACTAGTGAATATTTATCAATTTATAAATAGTTAAAATCTTTTTGATTAACTATTACTTACATACTTTTCCTTTTTTCACCTCGTTTTTCTGTGGTTATATCTTTTTCTTGTTGAATCGTTAAATCTGATAAATTATCATTTTCCACAGATATATTTAGATTTTTTTCGTTCGCTAAATGTAATAAACAAATAAAACAAAATGACACTGATATATCTTTCATTTTTTTCTCTGGATATATCTTTTTTAAATTCTTTATAACACTAGTAAATTTTTGTTCTTCAACTTCCTGTGTCGAGTCTATCGAGTATTGGTCAAATGGAGGTTGTTGGTTGTTTAAAGTCGACGTTTTAGATCCATTTTCCTGATTTTAATTAATTCTATGTTTAATAAATATAGAACATATTTAAAATAAGTCATTTAAGAGAACAAATGTATGTACCGTAGTGTCAGTCAATGTTTTCCATATGTTTTCTTTTAATTTTTTTACATCAATTCTTTTAGCAGTTTTGGCATATTTTATATATTCCGGTTTATTTCTTCTCGCTTGTGATACTAAATTATCACCAAATTCCCCTTCTACAATGTCTTCCTCAAATCCGTCGTCATCGTGCAAAAATGTATCTCCTGTAGTTACCATTGCTAAAGTGCAACAATGAGATTAGTAATTGTCTATATTTTCCCTTGATTAGTTAAAATTTGAATAGCTCACTCATATCCGGGAAGGATGTGTTTGTTACAGGATCATTATTTTCTTCGGCCCAAAAATTTTCATCTACTTCAACGTCATCAGCTAAAATAATGTTTAAGACGATAAAATAAATGTTTAATAAGTATTATAATTAACCAACATGACTTAATGTTCTTACTTTCAGCAAGTTGTTCTTCGTATCTACGTCTTGCTTTCAACTTTGCAAGAAATTTTATAAACCAGTTTTTAGAAGATTCATACTCTATACATGCCTCTCAACTCTTGAAATATAATAAAATAAATACCATGAATCCAGGTTTTAAGAATAACTGGAGCAATTGTTTTGATGAAAAATGAATATCATCGGGAAGTCGATGAGCATGCGGAACATTTTCAGCTAATTTCGGTAAAACGATCGAATTCCCAGCGGAAGCAAAAATAGTTCTTTCATTCAGGTCTTCTGAATCAATAAAATCGATGGAAAAAGGTTCCTTTTTTTTTCGTTCTTTTGGCGCACCATTGACATCACCTGAAAGTTATTATTTATTTACGAGAGACTGGATGAATATCATAGAACCAAATAAAAATAGAAGCTGACAATAAAATAAACAATACCTCTGACAACACGTTTTAATTTCCAGTGTTCTGGACCAGCCCAATTACGTAAAAATGCAGAATCGAAATATTGAAAAGTATCATTTGTGTTATTAGCCATGGCCATAACATAATCTTTTTCAGTAATTCTTTCTCTTGGACCATTATCGAATCCTTCAAAAACTCCAGATATGCCGTCATCATCACCGCCACCGCCCTCTTCTCCACTTAAAAAATTATCATCAAAGAAATCCGGATAATTTTCATCACCGTCTATATCATCAATAATGGCTTGATCTTCTTGATCGTTATCATCTGATCCTCTATGTGTAAGAAATCCAATGTCGACAGAAAATTCAAATGATTTTAATGATGGACAAATATCTTTAGTGAATATCCTTGAAAGTTCAGGAAAAATTTTAGCTATTTGTAAATATATTCATATACCATATATTGGCAATAAGTATAATCATCAAGAATGACATTAAAATATAATAAAAAGGATGAACATATACACACAACGAAGTTTAGATATATCAATGGTTTGTTCCGGAGAATCTTCTTCCATTGCATCTCTTTCATCATTTTCATTTTCATCAACTTCATCTAAAGTGGCATCACTTGCATCAAATATGATCTTTCCATCGGCATCAATCGACAAATGATTTAACAACAGCCCTTGAGCACCTCCCTCATCAAAATCTGCCGAAGTCTTTTTAAAAAGAGGATCAACAGAAAACTCCAAATCAAATTTCTTTGTAGTTAATTGAGAATAGTCTTTAACTAAAGTTGTAGTGCTGGTTGAAGACTAGAGATCAAAAAATATATATCTATTAATCGACTAAAGTAGAATAACACTATTTAAGTAATATTCAGATTACTTTTTTACGAGCAGGTCTCTCAGGATCAGCATTATCATCACCATCTGATGGGCTATCTTCATCATTATTCTCTATGATTATGTAACAATAATTATAATTAATATAATTAATAAAATATTAATCATGATATGATTAAATAAATTAGACAATAAAAAAAAAGGAATAATAACTAACTGGAGCTATCAGCTAAACCACTCAATAGTTTTCCGGTTTCAGTGGCGACAGAATCAACACGTGATGTATAGATTTTTACACACCCATCCAGTGTACAAGAGGCCTTTTGAAAATTTATTGAATCACCTTCTTTCAATAAACTCATTTCATGAAAATAATCAATTAGTGCGAGTTTCCAACTATTGTTAGCGTTAATTTTCTAATAATATTATTAATTAACAATATTTAGAATCACTTTTACTCACAAACCTTACGGAAATTACAGATTGAAAAATAACGAAAAGTTAATACATTACATTATCAGTGGCCATTTTCATCCATTCTTCGAAATTCAGATACATTTGTTCAACGGGTATCTTTGGAATAGGGGTGGCAGGCTCTATTGACAGAGTACCTACACGTTGAGGAGTAGACATTTGGCTACCAGGAATATTTTGGCTTTCAGAACCTGAAGCTACAGCAGACGGAGAGGCGAATAGTAGAGATCTTCGTACAGAATCTACCAAAGATTTTCTTCGCTGACGTATTTCTGATGCATCGTCATTTAAAGGAACAGTGAAATCTCTCTGATTCTTTAGGGGTGAGCCAACTGAATGACGTCGCTTTGGCGTTTCAGCGGATGGCATAGTGAATTATTATGTTGAAAAAAAAGGGTGAGAAAAATAATACTGGCTGGAAGAATTTGTTAGCATATATCAAGCGCGTTGTCTATGTACTTACGCGTTTTGATCACGAGATTTAAGCTAGCCAATCATATGAGTCCATCACTGCAACAATAGAGGGTATAATTTCCCCAAATAAAAATCATATCAAAAATCCTATCTAGGACATATTTACTGTCGCGAATCAATTTAAAATGAATCTATTTAACCCCCACTTATACGTTTGATTTCGTTTGATCTGTCATTACAGCACACTATTCCTCCGATAGTTATCATCCGGCCCATGATAACTGTATCGGAAAATTGCGGGATGGTTAACTAGTGTATTTGGTCGGAGAGTTACGGAATAGTATGCTGTAAGTGGGGGTTAAATAGTTTCATTTTAAATATTCTAAATCTGATTTCATTTTGATCTGCGACAGTAAATATGAGGATTTTGATAGCACTGACCAAAGTATCCCCCTTTTTCAATATCCTCCCTTGCAAAGTACCCGGTGCAAAACGCGAGACCTTAGAGTGTTCAAAATACTAGTAAATCAAACATTAATCAGGGTCGCATATGATAAATTTTTTATGAAAATCCGAATTTACTGCGGATAATATCAACTTTCAGTACACTTTTTCTCTTGAACTAGCATAACAATTAATGTCTATTTTTTAAAAAAAAAGATAGAGAAATTGTATACTTTCATGTAATAGAGCCATTTTTTCGATTTACACCATTTTATAGTATAAACACTGTATAAATAGCGTTAATCGAAAAAATGGCTCTATTATATTAAAAAGTATACAATTTACTCTGTCTCTTAAAAAAAAAAATTAGACATGAATTATTATACTAGTTCAAGAGAAAAGTGTACCGAAGGTTGATATTATCCGCAGCAAATTCGAATTTTCATAAAAAAATTTATCATATGCGACCCTGATTAATGTTTGATTTTGCTAGTATTTTGAACACCCTAACGAGACCTCTATTAATTAAATGTAGTTTTTTTTTCAAATTTTTAGATGCTTATTGTAAGTGCAGAATATGTATATGCCTGAAAAATTTTTTTCTTTCAACACTGGCCCGCTGCTGTATAAATATACCCGGGTCTTTTGTAAGTTTTTTGTGGAGTATTTTGTATTAGACCCCGAGTCTTTTGGTCAGTGCACTACGGTATATATTTTTTTCCGTTAAATGGTCGCATATTTCTATTCGACTCGCATAAATTGACTTTTATCGAAAGCAGAATTTGGGGTCAGTCGCAACAGATAGTCGGTGACCCTAATTCGAATATATTAAATTCTGAAATTCAATGAATATTCGGTGATATGTACAAATTAGAAAAAATTAAATTCATAAATTCATTTTTGAAATTTAGTTTTATACTTATACGTATCATGTATCTTATAATATATATATATATAATATATATATATAAAATGAAATACAGTAAACTGTTTTTTTAATGTTTTCATCAAATTAAGCATATCGGATATTATAATGGATTTTCGGATAGATCAAATGACTATCCAAATTTTATTTTGATCGACATTTTATGCGGTTACTTGTATAATGTAGTAACTCACGAACAATTCAATGCCGTCGGAACCTAGTACACCGCGATTCAAAGTTTATAGTTCATCACATCTATTCCAATCCCAGCTTTTACATTTGCAGGTTACGACTTTTGAAGAGTCGGCGTTTATATGGGCTGGAGTTGACGGAAATGAGGTATTAGGGAATTTAGCAGTTGCTATACCACCACCAACTTTAAATGGTAATACCTTATCAACGCCGTCCACTACTATATTAACAAAAGAGATAGAGGAAACTTCTAAACAACTAGGACAAAAACTCGGTAACTAATTTTTTTTATACTTTGCATTTGTCTATATTTGATAAATATTGTTTGATAATATATTAATAATAGCTTTTCAATTATGTTTTTAAACGTTTTAGCATCAAAGTTCGGCAAACAATTTTTTGTTAGCATTAACTTACCTGATCAAACGATGCTTTCTTTTGTTGAAAAGACTATATTAAATACTCTTAAAGACATATACTCTTAGCAGTCACGGGCAATGTTGGAAATCATATGTTCACGGTGTTCACAGTGAACATAAAAAATCTCAATTTTCTTATTTTATATTCAACATAAATAAATAATAAAATTTTATTTGTAATTATTATTTTTTTTAATGTAAATATAAAAAAAAAAGTATGTTTACAAAAATTATCATATTGTCTTTTGAATTTTCAACACTAGTTACAGAACATGTTTATATATGAAGGCTTAGAATGTTGTTAATTATAAATCAAATAAGCTGATTTTATATGTAAATTTTTGCAAAAAAATTATTTAAATTAAATTTATATATATAAATCTTTTTTTTAAATTTTAAATATATATTTTTTAGTATTTAATAATCTTTTGTTTAAAATTTTGGTTTTTAATTTTAAATAGAAAAATAAAAATTTTTCTTTAAAGATGGTCAATTTTTTACTAATTCCAAATAATTATATAATTGGTTAAAATAATTTTTTAAAAATTAAAAAAGATTCTACTAAGTAAAGAGGTTTTTTAGCTTTAAATAAAGTTATAAAGAAGGTTTTTTTTGATTTTAATAGTAGTTAGATTATTAAAATTAACTTGTAAATTCTAAAATACTTGGAATTAAAAAAAAAAAAATTCAAAAATTTACAAATTTACTATTATACAAAGTATAATACTTTGTATAATAATAACTTTGTAATTTTTTTTTTGACTTCAAGTATCTTGAGATTTATTAAACCAATTTTAATAAAGATTCTTTATTTAATAAAATCTTTTTTAATTTTAAAAAATTATTTAACTAATTATTATTAGAGTATTGCTAATCTTAACCAAGAGTAATTTTCTCTAGAGGTATTTGAAGATGCTATATCTCAAAAACATACTAAGTAAATAGAATTAGATATCTTAAATAAAAATATTTAGAACCTTTGAAAACCTTACAAATATTAAAATTAAAACTTTATATCTAATATATAATATATTATATAAAAAACTTCTATATATCTTAAAGCTGCATCCTAACTTTAAAAATATTAAAGAAAGTAATTTGTCTTTAGTTAAACATAGTAATTTTTTTATTATTAAAAAAAATAAATTAATTATTTAATTTAAAAAATATAATAAAAAATTAACCAATTTTAAAAAAAGATTTTTATATAATTAATACTATCTAATTGTATACTGTAATTGTATATACTTTTTAAATATATAAAAAATTTTGATTTTTAATTATTAATACAAAGATAATTCTTATAACTTAAATAAATATATTATCTATATATATAAAAAGTTTCTGATAAATACTATACAATTAAATAGTATTAACTGTATTTTTATTTAAAATAAAAAACTAAACAAGTTTACTAAAATACTCTATAATATTTAATACTATAGGTATTTATTTTTCAAAAATATACTAAATATATTAACAAAATATATAAATGTAAACTTATATAAATTATATATTATACCTTAAAATATTGTATAATAATTATAGTCTAGGTGAAATATTTTAAAATAAATTATAGAATATTTTTTTTTTTTTTTTTTTTTTTTTTTATTCTTAGACAGCCTTGTCGGAACTCAAATACAAAATTATCTTATTACAGTAAAAGAAAAGCTACTCTAATAAAGTCTCTAATTTTAAAATTGCAAGCCCAACATCACTTGGCTACTATATTAAGTGCCTAGATGTGACCTGTCACACTAACATCGAAAATAATTTCAGTTAGAAGACCTTGTTAGCCCATTAAAAACTAATTCCTTCAATCTTTTTTTCTTTACCAAGAGCACAAGAAAGTAAAATTTTGTACTACCAATACAGAATTAACATTGAGAAAAAAATACAAGAACTAAAACTAAAACAAAATATATAATGAAAGAGTAATCAAAAAGGAAAAAAAAAAGGAGGAATAGGGGAATATAAAAAAAGAAAAACAAAGAGAAAAACCTCTACAGGTTGACTAAACTACCTTTATTAAGAAGTAGTTTGTGGTTAAATAATAAAAATTATATAACTAATGCAACTATAGTATATCTCGATTGTAATATTTCATTTTGAATAAAACTTTTTTTAACATACGACCAAATCTGGGTACTGGTTAAATGAAAGGTTCTGATTTTCTGTAGATAGCACTGTGTTTATTTTCATAATTATACCAAATATGTGGTAGCAATCTACCTAGCCATCCCAATTTGAAAAGAATAAACAATGCTAATCTTTTGATAGAGTAGGCTGTTTTGTCTACTTTTTTCAAAAATTTTGTTAAAAGCACTAGTAGGTGATAGTAAAGAATATAAACCTAGTACTTTTCTTTAAAAAGAGTATGTATTTCTTTAAAAGTAGTAATACAAGTAGATCTGAGCACACTGCTACTCTTCTTTTTGGTAAGTAATAAACTTCAAACTTGTTAGCAAGTAGTATATAAGAACTACTTTTAAATAACAAATACCATCTCTACAATGAGTGATAAGCTCTAAACCTATTAGAAAATAGCATATGAGAATTATCTCTAAATAATAAATGCTAGTTTATGGTTTTTATCAGTCTTATATTCTTCTTCTCTAATATAATTTTACTGTTTTTGTTAAAAATTTGGTTTTGAAAAGTTGGTTTAAGAAATTATTGGGAAAAGTTAATTAGTTTTGCTATTTGGATTTAAATACTATATTTATTTATTAGGTTTATAATATTATCTTGAAACTTGATATCTTTATCTACTATTAAAACTTTAACTTTAGACCAGATAATTAAATATATTCAAGAAATAAAAAGTTTTATAAATCTTTTAACTATACTAGCAGAATCATGTTTAGTTAAAAGATATATTTATTTAGTACAAATAGCAATATCTATACAATTAAATACAAATTTATAAGTTTTATTTTTAATTTAATTATAAGACATATAGTATAAATTAGCTTGAATAACTTCTATAGATATAGTAATATTATTAAAAGATACTTGTAGAATAAACTTTGGTCAGGGTTTGTGAATTTGATGCAAAGCCTACTAGTTTAGCCATTTTTTTATTATAACTAAAGTAAAATCATATATAGTTTTTTTACAAGTATTTTATATTTTTTTAGCAGTTTGATAATAGCCTTCTAGTTGATAATAGAGTTTTTGCAAAGTAAAATCCTGATCAAGATTATATGCTCTCTAAGAATTGATATAAATAACTAGTTCTTCTATTATGATTCTCTTATAGATTTAGCAATTTCTCTATCAATATAAAGTATAGTAGATAAAAAATATGAAGAAATTACAACAAAGTAATCAAGAACTTCATAAAATAGTATTCCAATTAGTAAAATTAAATAAAAATTTTGAACAATAACTATATACCTTAAAATAAATTATTAGTATATAGGAAGAAAAAATAAGATTTCTTAAAGAAGAGTTAAATAATATAATTAAAGTTTTTATAGAAGAGAAAGGGAAGTTAAAAAAAAAACTTAAAACTAAAAAGAATTATTCACTAACTCAAAGAAAAAAATAAAAAGAAAAACAAAAAAATTTTAGATAAAAATAAATTAATATTAGAATTTGATAAATGTAAAACAAAATTAAAAACCAGAATATGAGAAATATCTAAATCAGCTAGAAATATATCTAAAGTACAAGATTATATAACAAAATTAGTAGATAAAAATAAGTGTCTTAAACAAAAAATAAATATATATAGTAAGAACTAATCAAGTTACCAAAATAACTTAGCAAAAAAATTATATTACAAATCTGCTTTGTTAAAATTTTATATTAGCATTGTTAAGATACTAAAATAAATTAGAATTTATAAATATACAAAAGATTTTGCAAAATATATAGACATAAAATTTTAATAAAAATAAATCTGATTCTGATAAAAATTTTCTAGATTTGTATAATTCTAATGCTAAAATTTTATAAAGATAACAGATAAAAGAAGAAATTTAGCAGTTGTAAACTAATATACAAAACCTAGTACTTGGCACAATCAAACAAAAATTTGATAGTCAAATACTTGTAATTAAATCTGATATCAAAACAATCACAGATTAATCAATACTATATATACATATATATATATATGTATATATATAGTATTAGTTAATCTGCAATTATTTGATGTCTAATCTAAGTATTTGACTATTAAATTTTTGTTTGATTGTGCTAAACACTAACAAAACTAGATAAATAAATAATAAATAATGTAGCAAGAAAACAAACCTGTATTGGTAAATTGCTATAAGAAAATTTTGTCTTACAAATCTTATATTAATAAAATGTCTACTACTATAATAGTGCAGAGCTAATAAAGATTTGTTAGAATATAATAGAGATAGACTTTATAAGTAATATAAAAAATAGAAAGCTAAAAAAAAAAATTTATACCAGAATATTTTAAATTTAAATTAACAAATTTTGGTACTTCATATAGTAATAATTTACCAAATCAAATAAATATAGCTAATGCTAAACATTTACCAATATTAAAATTAATAACCTTTGCTTTTGCAAAATTTCAACTTTATACAAACCAAGAACTACCTAATGATTATTTGGATAAAATTATTCAATTATAGATATATCTTAAAAAGCATATATATAGCTAATGCTTAGCACAATTAAACAAAAATTTGACAGTCAAATACTTGTTAATACTTGTGATTAAGTCAGACATCAAATGATCGCAGATTAACCAATAATATATATTTAGCTTTGGTTGATCTGCGATCGTTTGACGTCCCATTTAAACATAAGTATTAACGTTAACAAGTATTTGACTATCAAATTTTTGTTTGATTGTGCCGAGTACTACATATAGCAGTTTTTGAAAGTGCAAATACAGAAGATTTTGATAATATAGTCAAATATAATATTTTAAAATCTATAATAAATAGAAAATATAGTATACTCTAGTACTAGTAAATAATGATCTTGTAATAAAAAATCTAGTTATAAATTTTTCAAATATATTATAGGCTTGAATGAGAGCAAAATATTAGCGAAAAACTATTAAAAAACAACAA